GAGAGAGAGAGAGAGAGAGAGAGAGAGAGAGAGAGAGAGAGAGAGAGAGAGAGAGAGTGCACCGTACATAATCCATCAAAATACAAATCATGTTAGTAGTCTTGAAAGTTGAAATACTTGAGAAATTGAGAATTGAATTGAATTTATGAGTCGTGAAATGTGTTGGCATTATTATTGTCAGGTGCGCTTTCCACATCCATGTAAAGTTAATGCCGTTTTGCCACTACAGTCAGCGTCATCCTGTTTTTTTTTTTTTTTTTTTTTAAATCCTTATGTGGTTTAGGTTGTTGGATAAATCTGTGGTTGTTTTTGTGAACGGTGCATATCTTCCTGTATTAGTAAAGCAATGTAATATAATTAAAATTGCACGTCACTAACTTGGCCTGGTCATGGGTGGGCTGATGCACAGCGGGCAATGGAATATAATTAAAATTGCACTTTGCTAACTTGGCCTGGTCGTGGATGGGCTGATGCACAGGGAGTGCTTGGCACATCAGAGAGTAGTGGGTGGATGCTGTTATGAATCACAGACACACTGAATGACTCTGTATGTGATGGGAGCGGTTGGTGATGGGCGGTTGATTGGTTGCAGGGTGAAGGAGCACTTCATCAAAAAGAGGTTGCGATGGGGAGAGTTCTTGGGGCGGCTTGGTTGTCGTGAGATGGAATATTACGAGGATCTTGTGAGATATTTGCGGAAAAACCAAGCGGTAAGTTTGCTCAACCCCCTTTTGTTGGTGAGCAATCTGCTCCCACAACGATTTGGGGTAAACCAACCATGCTTATCCTGGCATTGTGGCGGTGTTTGTAACTAAATGATACATGCATAAGAAGATGGGTTGCTGCAGCACCAGGGCAAGGAGCTATCTCTACGCAATTTTTGCAAACTGCATTGCATTTCCCTCCAGGCGTTTCTTCTTGTGAAGGGATTTGTGTGAGTGTCTGGACAGTGGAGGTGTCTGCGCCAATACTGGAAAACTATAGGGAGATGCAGAGAGAATATCGCTGCTCACTGTGTTTACAGCGCTCGGTTACTGGTAATGGCTCCAATTCCGTTGTGGGGAGAAAGACTTCGGGTGGCATAACTGTTGTCTATGTGTCTGATTTTTGGTTCAACGGCCATTGAACCCCCGTTACAACGCCGTGCTATACCGCGTTAGATCGCGGTACAACGCGGCCCGCAAATTTTTTTTTTTCGTAGGCAAAAAATAATTAAAATATATCATACTTGCAAGCGCACCTCGTGCGCGAGTTTCCCGACGTCCGGCGCACGGGCCCGACCGTTCCCGCGCGGCGCACGAGGTGTGGGGGGAACGGCCCGAACCCCCCCCCCCCCCCCCTTGAAAAAAGGCAGGGGTCGAAACGGCACATCGGAGGCCCCCTGCCAAAAATGTTTGGAAGGCCAAAATTTTTTTTTTTCGGACCGCGCTCGAGGCCGGACCGCAAGGTTTCGAATTTTCGAAACCTGTTTCCAGTTTTTTCTACTCTGTGGGGTTGGCTAGGCCTCTTGGGTAGGTGTGTGGTCGGGCATGGCCTTTCCTGCGAGGAGTGCCGTTGCCATTTCAAGGAGGAGCTGCCACTGCTCTCAAGTGCCGCCCCGTGCTGCCGTGCTGCCGTGCTGCCCTGTGAGGGAGGAGCTGCCGCCATCGCCCGGTGAGTATCACCGGCCTCGACCTCCCCTTCATCATCTTCACTGCCTCCTCTTCCTCCTCCTCTCCTCCCGCTCGTCCTACTCCTCCTCCCCTTCCTCTTCCTCCATCTCTCCTCCTCGTCCTCCCTTCTCCTCCTCCTCCTCCTCCTCCTTCTCCTCCTCCTCCTCCTTCTCCTCCTCCTCCTCCTTCTCCTCCTCCTCCTCTCCGAGAGGTGTGGAATTTGCCAGTTTTTTTTTTTCTTTCAACTTTTCTCTATTTGTGCGTATCATCCTTGCGCAGAGGTCGTGCTAATCTTCTTTGTATCGTTCCCATCCCTCCGTTTCGCCTCCCATCCCTCTGTTTCGTCTCCTCCTCCTCCTCCTTCTCCTCTCCCACAGGTGTCGAAT